ATCGAACCAAGAGTAGCTTGGAGCTATTAGCAATTGGATTGCTTACCCAAAAATATCAACTGTTAAGACAAGCCAAAGCATGCTTAATCACTTTTTGATTTTTGGGATCTTGGAATCATTTTATTCTCGCCTAAACGGGACTAATGTTAATGCATGGATAAAATGCTCAATAAGATTGAAAATTGCATGATCGCTTTAAATTTCAAACTTATTGGTTATGAATGGTTTTTCATTTCAAATTTTTTCAATTGTTCTGCAAGTAACTCAAACAACCAGTTTTCATTACAATCAATTCTCGACAAGGAGAAGTTGAGTGGGCCAAATTTTCTTGATTGGCAAACAAATTTGCGCATTGTTCTCATGCAAGAGCAAAGGGAATACATCCTTGATGAGGAAATGTCCGACACTCCAAGTGAGGAGGTCACTCAGGTTGCCCTTAACTGATGGCAAAGTGCCAATCGGGATGTCAAATGCATCATGTTGGCCACAATGTCTCCGGAACTTCAAAAGACTTTCTTTGAAAAGGAGACGGCTTTTGAGTCATTTCTGAACTTCAGAATATGTTTCAAGAGTAGGCCCGAACTGAGAGGTTCGAAACCCACAAGCAGATCCTTGAGAGCAAACTCAAGAAAGGAGAGCCAGCCAGCCCGCATGTTCTTAAAATGATTGGATTATTTGAGAACATGAAAAGGCTCAATGCTGGATATTCGACCGAGATGGCAATTCACATCATTCTCCACTTGCTGCATAAAGGCTATGACCAGTTCAAGATGAACAATAATATGCACAACATGGAGAAAACTCTCACCGAGCTTCATGGTATGTTGAAGCAGGCCGAGCAAACCCTCAAGGATGAGGGAAAGCATGACATGCTCACGGTGAGAAAGGGGAAGCCGTTTAAGCGTTCGGGCAAGAAGAGAAGCTTTAAAGGGAAAAAGAAGAAGAATTTTCCGCCTAAGTCAAATGCTTCTAGGAGTGGCAAGGACAAGAAGGTAGCCTCTTTTAAATCCGATTCCAAATGCTTCTATTGCAAGAAGAAGGGACATTGGAAGCGGGATTGCCTCAAGTTCAAGGAAGATAAGAAGAACGGCACCGTTGCTTCTTCATCAGGTATTTTTGTTATTGACTTAAACTTCGCTAGCAAAACATCATGGGTATTAGATACCGGATTTGGCTCACACCTTTGTTCCAATGCTCAGGGACTAAGGATAAATATGAGGCTAGAGAAGGGAGAGGTCGAGCTTCGAGTCGATAATGGAGCAAGGATGTCTGCCGTATCCATCGAAACTCTCAGTTTTGTCTTTACGCTCTGGGCTTGTTTTAGAATTTGACAATTGTTATCATGTTCCGAGAGTTACCAAAAACATTATTTCAATTTCGGCGTTGGACGCCAAAGGTTTTGAATTTCAAATTAAGAACAATAGTTGTTCAATTTATTTTGATAATGTTTTATATGGTAAGGCATATTTAGAAAATGGTCTTTATGTGCTTTCTCTAGACAAACAAGTGATAAGTGGAATTAATGCCACTATTTAGGACTCATTTCTTTGCCATTTCCTTCTATTTATCGCTTGTTTAGCCCCTTTTTGTCGTGTTTCCCCATATATTGCATAACAATGTCATTTTCCCCGCATTTCCCCTCTACTTTACCTTTTTGTACTGTTTTTGGGTCTTTTCCTGTGTTTTGTAGGTAAACCAGTCGATACGTGAAGAAGAGGAGAATTCGGGATAGTTCTGAAAGCTAGATTCATGGGCAAAACAAGTGAGAGGCTGCTAATCAATCTGCGCGCCCAGGAGAGCCCTTTCTCCCATGCTGCGCGGGCGTGCATTTCGAGAGAGAGGGCGCGCATTATAGACGATAACAGAGGTGCTCCACTATAGATGCCAGTCGCGCCCAGGAGAGCCCTCTCTCCCTTTCTGCGCGGGCGCGAAGATTTTTAGAGAGGGCGCGCATCTGAAGTTGTGAAAATCAGGAAAACTTCCTGTAGATGGCAATCGCGTCCAGGAGAGCCCTCTCTCCCTTTTTGCGCGAGCGCGAAGATTCCTGGAGAGGGCGCGCATTTGAAGTTGTGAAAATCAAGAAAACTTCCTGTAGATGGCAATCGAGCCTCTTCGCGGGCGCGCACGATTCCCTTCTCGGGCGCGCACGCCTGTCAGGCCAGCCCATTCTATCCTATTTAAACGCTGATTCGGAAAGAAGAAAGCAGCCATTCCATTTAGGGCAAAATTCTTAGAATATTTTTAGAGAGAGAATAGCCTCCATTAATGCTTCTAGAGAGAGAAAGTTCAGATTTTTGGGTTTTAATCACTCAAACTTTAGTCTTTTATCTAGTTTTGTGCTTTGGTCATCTTTGTAATCAACATTGAAGCATCCTATTGGATTTTTGGTGGTTCACCATTGAAGACTCAAAGACCCATTTTCTCATTTCAATACAAAGTTGAAGTTTTGTGAGCTTTTTCTATCTTAATCTCTTTTGTTTTGGGTTATTTACATATTTCAAGTATTATTGATGGTTATGTTCATGATTTTGATTATGGCCAATGTTTTGGGTATTGTTGATATGGGTAGTTTCTCTCTCTTAGGCTAGACTTTTAGCTAGGGAAGGGGAATGGATAACTTGGTTACTATTTGATTAAATGCTTGATTTTTGGCGATATAAACCCTTGATGTATGAACTTGTGCTTATTGTTGTATGGTTGATGTTGTGCACCATTGACTATATTATATCATGTCCTATTTGATGCGCGGGAGTGATCAAGTAGGATAGATCGCAGTTTATACATTGCTTAATCAATTGCATGGGAATGAGTTGTGTTAAGTAGGATCTTTGATCCCTTGGTTTTGAATCCTTGATTATCTATGTGTTTAGCTCTTAACCTCCAAATTTGATGTTCCCCGATCCCCCTAGCGTTTTTAATCCTTATTAGTTTACGTCGATTGTTAGAGTAATTTTATTCGTTTTAGTTGTTTGTTACTTAGCTTTACTCCACTCTTATCCATTTACACCATCTTTAAGCCTCTTTAATTAACACTTAGCTTTACAACTTCCCGTTTCTCCGTGGATCGACCCTTGCTTGCCTTTATACACATTTAGGTAAACTAGGATTAATTTGATAGGAAAAGTGTATTAACAACGACGTTACATTCCTTATCAAAATTTGGCGCCGTTTTTGGGGAAACGGTCAATTTTGTGTTATTATTTATGTTATTTTAGAGTCTATTTTCTTTTTGTTTTTGGTCATTATCTTAGTGATTGTTATTGCTAATCGTTTGCTTAGCTTTGTCGAATGCAAAGGAGGTCACAAGGGCCGCCTACGAATCCTCTTGATCAAGAAATTGAACGCACCTTAAGACAAGTCCGGAGACTATTTAACGAAGATAACCGAGGGTTCGGTTCGATCCTTCATTGTGAAAGCGATTCCTCACCCTTTGCTAGTGAAGCTACTGACGAGATGGCAGAAATTGAGCAAGAAAATGATCTTTCCCTATTCCGAGAGTTTGGGAATCCGGAAGGATATGAGCTTACCGGAGGTACCTGTCACCGAAACTAATTTTACCATTAATCCTCAATACACAAGAATTGTATAAGCGGAGAAATTTTCCGGATCCCCAAGTGAAGATCCAATAGAGCATCTTGACCGGTTTCTTGAGTTGTGTGCTATGATACAAACGAATCAAGTGATCCAAGATTACATTCGAATGCATCTCTTTCGTCAATCCCTTACGGGAAGAGCAAAGAAATGGCTCAAATATGTGAAACCCAATTCCTTAACTACATGGAAGGAGGTAGTGAAGGAATTTTTGAAGAGGTTCATCTCTGAGGAGAAGACCGCGGATATGAAAAGGAAGATTGCCTCCTTTGAACAAGATCCTGATGAGACGTAAGGAGAAGCGTGGGAAAAATTCAAGAAACTAGTCCAAGCTTGCCCGCACCATGAATACAACCAAAGCCTACTCATGAGATTTTTCTATGACGGCCTAGACGCGGGGGTCGGAGGACAACTAATCAAGATCCCTCAAAATCAAGTGGAAGCGACAATTGAAGAGGTTGCAAAGAATTACTAATGGAGAGGTAGAAGAAGAACTAAAGCTAAAAAAGGAGGCAAGTATGAGTTAGAGAAGGTGGGCCAACTCCAACACTAAATCGAACTTTTGAACAAAGGGTTACAAAAGTTGAATGCAAGTGGAGTAGCCGGTTCCAGTTCATCACAAATCAATGCCTTTTCTTGTAAGAATTGTGGAGGTACAAATCATGATACTTCATATTGTGGAGGTTTGAGTCCCGAGCACATCAATGCCTATAACACTAGACAAGATGGTTTTAGGGGGAACAATAGTGGCTTGGCTTGGAGGCAACCACCTTCGAGTTTCAACAACCAACCTCAACATGTAGAACCACCCTACAACCCACCACAACAGCAAAATCAAAGCCAAAATAGAAACTGAAACTACCAAAGGCCTTATCCTAACCAAAACCAACAAAAACACAATGATGCACCACCACTTCCACAACCCGACCCGACACAAACTCAAATCCTTCAACAATTATAAGCCATGAACCAACAAATACAAGAAATCAAGGCTCACAAAAAAATGGTTGATTCCCAATTATCCCAAGTAGCCGAGAATTCATCCCTTAACTCCACATCCAAACTACCCGGACAACCAAACCCAAACCCCTCTCACATCCTTAAGCAACCCGACACATGCAAGGTAATCACATTGAGATCGGGTGCAACTTATGAAGGACCGAAGGGGAGTGAGGAGGTAGAAAAAGGAAGAGGAGGAGAAGAAGGAGGATGAGGTAGTAATTGTTGAGAAGGAGGTTGAGAACAAGAAATCCAGGGGTAAGGACCCAATCGATACTAGCAAATATGAGAATCCGGTCCCTTACCCCGGAAGAGTGGCGGAGCGGAAGTTGAATGGTATGTTTGTCAAGTTCCTAGATGTGATGAAGGGACTACACATTAATTTGCCTTTCCTAGAGGTGGTGACACAAATGCCATCTTATGCCAAGTTCCTCAAGGACATTTTGTCGAACAAGAGAAAGCTTAAGGATGAGTTACTAACACTACCACACCAAGTAAGTGCTCTTGTTCAACATAAAATGCCCAAGAAACAAAGAGATCCCGGAAGCTTTACATTGCAGGTCAAGATTGGGAATTTGGAGGAAAAAGGATCCCTAGTCGACCTTGGGGCTTGTGTTAGTCTCATTCCACTATCCATTGCTCAACAACTCAACATAGAGATGATTCCTACACGGAAGACTATTCAACTTGTCGATCGCTCGGTTAAATTGCCTTGTGGAGAAATTGAAGACGTTCCCATCCAAGTGGGACATATCTATGTACCGTGTGACTTTGTAGTGATGGACATGGAGGAGGATGAAAATACCCCTCTAATTCTTGGAAGTGAAACTTTGAAGACCTTGGGAGCCGTGATCAATTGAAAAAATAACACAATTACTTGTGAGGTAGGAGATGAAAAGATTGTTTTTGAGTTTTCAAAGGTGTTGAAAAATCCCATGGTTGAGAAGATTTATAGAGTGGATGTTGTTGATGAAGAACTAGGGAGGTTGGAGAGATCAATGACAAGACCTCAAGATAGTTTGGTAGATGCTTTGACTTGTAAGGAGGAATTTCATTCCGAAGAAGCAAGAGAGATCATGAAGGCCATTGATAATGCACCTCAATTGGAGGAGGATGAACCAACTCAAGTGGCTCAATTGGAAGAAGATAATAAGGAGGGGAGTTCTACGCGCCCTCCCAAGGTAGAAATGAAACCTCTTCCCCCCTCTTTAAAATATGTTTTTCTAGATTTGGAGGAAAATTATCCGATTATTGTCAATTCTATACTCAATGGACAAGAATTACAAAAATTGATTGAATTGTTGAGGAAATACAAAGATGTCATTGGGTATAGTATTGATAATATCAAGGGGATTAGCCCTACATTATGCATGCATAGATTTCATCTTGAGAATGATTATGCCACCTCTATCGAACCTCAAAGAAGGTTAAATCCCAAACTTAAGGAGGTAGTAAAGAAGCAGATTTTGAAAATACGGGAAGCGGGGATTATCTATGCTATCTTAGATAGCAAATGGGTAAACCCAGTTCACGTAGTTCCTAAGAAAGGTGGCATGACCATAATCAAGAATGAGAAGGGAGAGGACATCTCCACCCGAACTGTGACCGGGTGGAGAATGTGCATCGATTATAGGATGTTGAACAAAAATACAAAGAAGGATCACTTCCCTCTCCCTTTCATAGATAAAATGTTAGAAAGATTGTCTAAGCACGCCTTCTATTGCTTCGTGGATGGATACTCGGGATTTTTCCAAATTCAAATCCATCCAAAGGATCAAGAGAAGACGACTTTTACATGTCCGTATAGGACATTAGCATATTGAAGGATGCCCTTCGGGTTATGTAATGCCCCATCCACTTTCCAAAGATGAATGACCTCCATTTTTTCCGAAATGCTTGAAAATGAAATTGAAGTATTCATGGATGACTTTAGTGTTGGTGGCTCATCTTTTTACATATGTTTGTTTAATCTTGAAAAAGTCTTGAAACGATGTCAAGAGACGAGCCTAGTTTTAAACTGGGAAAAATGCCACTTTATGGTTGAGGAAGGGGTTGTCCTTGGCCATAAAGTGTGAAAAAGAGGAATTGAAGTAGACTCGGCTAAGGTGTCGGTTATTACCAAGCTACCCCCGCCTACTTCCATTACGGGAGTTAGGGCCTTTTTGAGGCATGCGGGGTTTTACCGGAGGTTTATCAAGGATTTTTCAACAATATCTAAACCTTTAACCGGTCTACTTCAAAAAGAAAAAGAATTCTGTTTTGATGAGGGTTGCCTTCGAGCTTTCAATAGGCTCAAGGAGGCCCTCACTTCTGCCCCCATAGTGCAAGCTCCGGATTGGAGCTTGCCATTTGAACTAATGTGCGATGCGAGTGATTTTGCAGTGGGTGCCGCATTAGGACAAAGAGTGGGAGAAAAATTGCATGTCATTTCTTACGCTAGTAGAACATTGGACGACGCTCAAAGAAACTACACTACTATGGAGAAAGAAATGCTTGCTATTGTCTTTGCTATGGACAAGTTTAGATCCTACCTTATTTGTTCTAAGGTGATAGTGTATACGAACCACGCTGCGGTCCGATATTTGATGAACAAAAAGGATGCTAAACCAAGATTGATTCGATGGGTACTCCTTCTACAAGATTTTGACATTGAAATGAGAGATAAGAGGGGGGCCGAGAATCAAGTTGCGAATCACTTGTCCCGATTACCACACATTGAGGTTGAAAAGGTTCCAATCAATGAGAGACAGGTATTGAGACCCTAATGGCTATAGCTTCAACCCCTAGCCCTTGGTTTGCGGATTTTGCGAATTATTTGGCTAGAGGGGTAATCCCATACGAATCCCTTGTTGTTTAAGGAATGTGGAGATGGCATATTCCGGAGATGTGTCCTGGATCACGAGATTGAGAGTGTATTAGAACATTGTCACTCATTACCATATGGAGGACATGGTGGTGTGACAAAGACCGTGGCAAAAATCTCTCAATCCCTTCTTTGGTGGCCTACCATGCACCGAGATGCTCAACGTTATATTTTAAGGTGTGATAGATGCCAAAGCGCAGGAGGCATTACTAAAAGAGATGAGATGCCCCAATTAGGTATCCTTGAGGTTAAACCCTTCGATGTTTGGGGGGTTGACTTCATGGGGCCTTCTGTTTCTTCATGTGGAAATGCCTATATTTTGGTGGCGGTGGACTACGTGACAAAGTGGATTGAAGTCGTTCCGTCGCCAACCAACGATCACAAGGTCGTCCTAAAACTGCTAAAAAAGATAATCTTTCCTAGATTCGGGGTGCCCAGGAATATTATTAGTGATGGTGGATCACAATTCGTCAAGAAGCAATTTGAGGCTTTCCTTAAGAAATATGGCGTCCACCACAAAGTTGGGGTCCCATATCACCCCCAAACTCAAGGGCAAGTTGAGGTATCAAACCGGGAAATCAAGAACCTTCTTGAGAGAATGGTTAACCGTACAAGGAAGGATTGGTGCCTTAAGCTTGATGATATATTGTGGGCTCTCCGAACTGCTTACAAGGCCCCTATTGGGACAACCCCCTACCGATTGGTTTATGGCAAGGCTTGCCATATCTCGGTGGAGCTTGAACATAGGGCATGGTGGGCTATCAAGGAGCTTAACATGAACCTTGAAGAAGCGGGGAGGAAAAGACTACTGAAAATAAATGAGCTAGAGGAGCTTCGCTTTGATGCATATGAGAACTCGAGGATCTATAAGGAGCGAACCAAGAAATGGCACGACCAACGGATCAAATTTAAAGAGTTCAAGATTAGGGATGAAGTCTTACTTTTTAATTCTAGACTTCGCCTTTTTCTCGAAAAACTAAAATCCAAGTGGTCGGGACCATTCAAGATTTCAAATGTCACTCCCTACGATTCGTTTGAGCTAGATACGGGTGATCACAAGTTTTGGGTTTATGGACACCGCATCAAGCTATATCATTCAAAGAATGAGGTTGGAAAGATAGAATGTCTTAGGCTCGACCCTATGGTTTATGAGCCCTCCTCTGAAGAACCATGATAAATTGGAAAAATGGTCAAGCTAATGACCTTAAAAACAAGCGCTTCTCGGGAGGCAAGTCGAGTCTCTTAACCTTTTCTTTAAGTTTCTAATTTAATTTTTCTTAGTTAGCTTGTATGATTGAATCTCATGTTTGGGTGTTTGATTTGTAGGTCATGTTGGCCAAGAGAGCTGACATTATAAAGGATGACGAACTCCTTTGCTTTGGAAGATCTCGGGATTTGAGCCTTCGGAACCGATATCGTACCTTAAGAGTTTTGTTATTCTTTATTTTGAATTTTGCAAACATGTGTAATTGAGGATGTAATATTTTCGAGTTCTTTAGTTTGATGATTTAGGGGTTTTCATGGAGTTAGAAAACAATTGGTGATTGATTTGTAAGAGTTTTGCGCGGGCGCGCACGATCTCAGTTGATCAAAAACGCAGGTAACCTCCTCTTTTTCCCCAAATTCACTCCAATTCTCTCACGTCTCTTTCTCTCCTAAAAACCCTAACATCTCAAATTTGCAACCTCTCACAATTACACACTCAAATCCATCTCAAACTTTTCAAAACCTCATAAAATCCATTACATTTCAAAATTTACCACTCAAAATCACCCCAAATTCACCAAGAAATTCGAAAATCCCCAATCGTAGTACCCACCTTGGTCTTATATGAATTTTTGCAAATTTTCTTCAATTTTGAATCTTCAAGAGGTATATCTATTACTCTACACTAGTTCTAATTTTATTTTCAAAGATAAACTCTTTGGATTCATGATTTTTTCGTGAAAATATATATATATATATATATATATATATATATATATATATATATATATATATATATTTTGGGTAGCCATTGAAATGCATGTAATAGTTCTTCAAGCTTTTATGGGTAATTGACATGTATTTGGGTATTACTTGCAAATTTGTTGGTTTAATGAATTATTCATGTTTAATTTGCAAATTCATGGGTTTTTGATTGAATTTCTTAGGGTTTGTGGTTTATAAGTGCCAAATTTGTGATACCTTGATTTTTGAATACTTGGATGATGAATTTTATGATTTGAAGGGTAGTATTTGAATGTTAGAGATTTATTTGTGTGAATTGCAAAATTTCTTGATGGTCTCTATTTTGCACTAACTTGATTGTATTGTTGTTGTTGTTGTATTGTTGGACTAATTGTTGTTTTGTAGGGCTATTTGGTTGTGAATTTGAATTTTTGGGTTGACTGCATTATGTTGTGGTTGTAAGTGTTGGTGGAAGTTTTTGGTGTAAGAGATTGGCGATTTGTGTTGTTGAAATTTATTTGGGAAGAATGTTGACCTTTGGTAGAAAGCGCTCAAAAAGCGGGAAGGGACCCCAACCCTCCCTACCTCAACAAAATCAATCTCCTCTACCCCCTATTATCTTCCAAAATAACAACCACGAAACTGCCTACAAAAAAATGAAGGAGAGGAAACTTAGACCCTCCAAACATTACCACCGTCCCGCCACTATAAGTTTGGGTGTTGACGAGGACATTTGAGTACTCTTTCGAAACCTAAGATTGGGTACCTTTGTGAACTCAGCTTTCAACGCCTATTTAGAACCAACCCTTGAATTTTTTTCTACCTTCTCCAGTGAAGCTGTGGGGGATGACGACTTAGAGTCACCTTCCAGCTTTTTAACCAATCCTATACATTATCCCTGCGAGATCTCAACGTTGCCCTGGACTTCAATCCAGAGGCCGACCTTATAGCTCTTGAGACCTCCTCTTTTGAAGGTTACAATGATATGCATTGGTGGAGGGGTATCACGGGAAAGGAAGAGTTCAATGCTCACTACTCCTTGGCCAG